AGCATGGACTCATAAGTGTCTAGCGCGTTTCAGTCAATGTGTTTCTGAAAATTTTCCACATTGTTGAATCTATTAGTTTTTTGTTCTTGGTGTCATTTTATTTGTTATGATTGAGTAGTATTCTAATGCATAAATATATCAATATTGACTATGTTTCTGGGCGTTCGGCTCCAAAATGTGGAGGTTTCTGAACCCTCAAGAAGCAAGAGAGACAGAAAATTGGGGTTCAAGAAAATGGGAAAGGGGTCATAATGTCCTCGCGGTATCAGATGAGCCTCTGCCACCAGTAAACGACAAACTTTTTCTTTTGTCCTATGCAGTTACCCCAAGCACAGAAAACCTTTCAGAACCCCAATTTCACATGGCAGAAGATCTAAGAGGTCATAGTCAGGCCTGCAGACCCTCTGAGAAAAGAATAATTTTCAACCTTATGATAATGAAGAACCAAGCAAAACTCAAAACCTCCTCCAAGTCCAACTCAAATGGCACCTACAGTCCTTTGCTTTTCCATAACCCTCAGGGAAAAGGATGCAAGTCTTCATTTTCATTCCTACAACAACTCACACGAGCCTTTGTTACAGTTTTTACCACGTGCACTCACTGATTTCTTTGCAGACATGGCTCCACTTTCTACCAAAGTAAACTATAGACTCCTCAAAGAAAAGGACAAGCTTTTTTTGTGCTTTGTACTTCTGGCACCTAGCACAGTGATTATACATACACACATGGTGTAAATGAATTGACAAATAAATCACCACCCAGATGGTGAATGAGTGGATGGATGGATGAGTGAATGGATGGATGAATGGACAGATGGGTGGATGGGTAGATGGGTGGATGGATGGATGGATAGATGGACGGAGGAGTGGATGGATGGATGGATGGATGGATGGATGGATGGATGGATGGATGAGTAAATGGATGCATGAAAGAATATCTTAACATTGCCATATTGCTTATAAACTGAATAGCCTGTCTGGTCTTTGGAAGCCACCATCAGTATCAGGGCACTGCTTTCTCTCACTGTCTCACATTCATGAATCCTGAGAATTCATATTATTCTACCCAACAGTAGGCAAATGCCTGAGTACCACCTAGACTGGGTGGAACCTCCTAGCTACCAGAAGTGGCTCTCCAAGATTTCAGGAACTATTTTCATAAGAGTCACAATTAATCTGCAACCATGTAACCCAAGAGTCAATGTTGACACAGTGGAAATCTTCCCGATACAGGACAGACCTGAGTACGGGGTAAATGGCGGTGGCTCTGCAGTCAGCAGGAAGCTGGTTAAATGCAGCCTCACAGGTAAGGAAAGGTGACGTGGAGCCCATTAGAGAGTTTTGTAACACTGCGAATAGTATTTAGCACTCAGCTGTTCCTCAGCCACCTCTCAGATGGTCCCAGCAGGGAACAAGCCTGTGGCTGTCATGTTTATAGTTAATTAATGTTTATTTATATTTTTAAACAAGCCTCTCACCTGTCAGACTTTAAAATAAATGTACTGCTCTTCAATTAGAGGTTGTCAGAGCAGAGAAGACTCCTGTTTGTTATGAGTTGAATGTGTATGTGTTTAGGTGTCTATCAGATAGGGGCATCATTTACCTGTAAATCTCTCTCTTCTCCCCGAGGCTGGGGCTTCCTACCCGGAGAACACACTTTGCCAGACCTTGGCCATGAAATTGGTGCTTTGCTATGCAGGCCATGAATTTGCTTCTAAAGGCAGAATGCATAAATTGGTGTCTCCTTGGATGAGAGAGTGAGGGCTGGCATAAAAAGATTGTACAATTTGACTAGTGTAGAACAAAGGTTCTTAAGGGAAAAGGATACAAGTTCTGACAATTAAGTTCGCAAACTTATTGCAATGCTGTTGCTAACCTTTTCTGATATCAGAGGGATGACTCATTATGAATTTGTACCAACTGGACAAACAGTAAACCAAGTTTACTATTTGGAAGTGCAAAAAAGGCTGCATGAAAAGTTAGACGACCTGAACTTTTGGCCAACAATTCATGGCTTTTGTATCATGACAATGCACCAGCTCACACGGCACTGTCTGGGAAGGAGTTTTAGCCAGTAAACAAATCACTGTATTGGAACACCCTCCCAACTCATCTGATCTGGCCCCCAATGACTTCTTTCTTTACCTGAAGATAAAGGAAATACTGAAAGAGGATATTTTGATACCATTCAGGACATCGAGGGTAATATGACAGCTCTGATGACCATTCCAGGAAAAGAGTCCCAAAATTACTTTGAAGGGTGGACTGGGCACTGGTGCTGGTGCATAGCTTCCCAAGGGGGAATACTTCAAAGGTGACCATAGTGATATTCAGCAATGAGGTATGGAGCACTTTTTCTAGCATGAGTCCGTGAACTAAATTGTCAGGCCTTGTATGCTTTGCTCTCTTTGCATTAAAGGGTTGACTCAGCAAGTCTGAAGCGTTCAAACTCTGCAAATTTCAAGGAGAGGTCTGGCCCTGGACTGGCTCCCAACAGATCACCTTGACACCCTTGGGCTATTCTGCTGGGTAAGAGCATCTCTCCTTGCCTGGCGCCTTGAATCCTGCTGGGTGATTGATGTGGACATGTGATTTATGGTGGGGGTCTTGAACCACGAAGCATCAGTTTGACCCCTGAAGGGGCTGGTGCCTGAGTATCTAAGAGGTGTCCTTGCTACAAACTGACCCCCAAGAAAATCCTGGACACCCACACTCATCTTCTCTTCTTAATGAAGCTTCCTTGGTTGGCCACATTCTGCATATTATCACATGTCATGGCTGGAGAATTAAGCACTTCTGTGTAACTCACTGGAAACACATACCTGTCTCTCCCAGACTCTGCCCGAGGTGCCTTTTACATTCACTGATTTTAATTTGTATCCTCTCACTGTCATAAACCATCGTTATGAGCATAACAGCAATTCTGAGTTCTGTGAGTCCCTCTAGGGAATCAGTGGACCTGAGGATTCTTGGGGACACCAGCATACCCCATCAAAGAATAAGTGATGAAGAAAGGTGGGGTTTCAGGGTGGAAAACAGATTAGAACTGAATCCATACACTTCCCAGCGATCTCAGGGAAATCACGTGATCTCTTAATATTTTTGAGATTTAAGTAAGCTGCTATGTTCGGTATTCATCCATTGTTTCAATAAATACTCACTGAATGTGCCACAGAGCAGATGAAAGAGTGGTTAATGCCAGAGGTGACTGATCTGGGTCACCTATGAGGTTCCCCATGCTATTTGAAGCTCCTTTACTTAGATAAGCACCCTGAATTTGGACCTATGACCCTCCACAGTTTTGTAGACAGATATGTTCACAGTTTGCAGTCAGTAAATGATGGTTTTCATACCATTATTTGTCTCCCATTGTCTCCTTTCTTACCTTGAGCCTAGGCCTCTGCCTTCCAATAGTCTGCTCTTCATCAATTGCACACTTGCAATAGGCTTGGGAGAAAAGCCTATCTGGGAAATATGCCTGGAACGTTGCCAGCGTCATCTTTGGAAGTTACTGAGGACTGACTTCCATGCCTATGAACACTGAGAGGATTTTTTCCAAACCCTCTTTACTAAGAATATCCTTTCTCTTTCTTGACCAATAACTGAAACACCTGAAAAATCTTTATTTTTTCAGGAAATGGGGGGAAAGGTCACTCCTTGCCCAGTTGTCCCTGGTGACTACTGAACCAATGGGTTGCCCATGTTGTGTGTTCAATTGTGTGCCCCCAAGAATTGTTGAAGCTCTAGTTCTCAGCACTTGGGAATGGGGACCTTATTGGAACTAGGGACTTTGCAGATGTCAGCAAGTCACGATGAGCCCACCCTGAATTAGGGTGGGCCCTGCTCCAACGACTGCTGTACTGTCCTTATAAAAAGAGGGACATTTGTACACAGACACATACAGTAGGAAGGTGGCCATGTGAAGATAAAGGCAGAAACTGAAATTTTGCTGTCATAAGCCTAGGGGACACAATCAGTTTCCAGTGGCCTAGGAAGAGGAAATAAAGGGTTCTTTCCTAGAGCCGCCTTCAGCGTGATCATGGCCTTACTGACACCTTAATTTCCGACTTCTGGCCTCCAGAAATGTGAGAGAACTGTTTCTGTTATTTGAAGCCACCCAGTTTGTGGCAGTTTGTTTTGGCATCCCTAGGAAAGGAATACACCCCCCCACCCCCACCCCCACCCCCGTGAGAGCTTGTCACATGCAGCACTTCAGCTTGTGCCTGGTTTTCTTGTCTTAACAGACAGGAATCGGCCTCCTGGGAAGTGGAAGGAAGCAGCCAGGAATGAGGCGGACGGGGAAGTAACTCACCACGGGGCTGTGGCCGGTGCTGCTGAGGTAGGAGAGGAGACCTTTGGTGTGGTAGATGGTCGGCTGCAGGGGGGCGCCAGGAGACAGCCACTGCCTGTTCAAGTCCTCCCCTGTCAGGGAGCATCTGTGACTGCGGGGACAATGAGAAATACATACACATTTAGGAGAAAATAGAGAAAACAAAGCCCAGCAAGACAAATAATTACACCAAGGAATCCAACTTCCCTCTGAGGTCTGCCCAGTTGGCATCAAATTCCCCAAGTGTTGTGATTAATTCCCACCTCCAGCCCACCCCC